GCGCGGAGCCCAAACCGCATAAGGATTATCAGAGGGAGCATTCACCAAATTCAACTTCAAAAACAAAAACATAAAGGGGGGACCAAGAAACCCCAAGTCCTAACCGATATAAGTGGGAAGATATCTAAGCAACACAGCCCCCAACTTATGCTAGAACAGATTAAGTCGGGGGCCTCGATTATGCACAAGGTTTTTCCTCGGAAAAAGGGGGATAATGTAAAACAAAAAAGGGGACAGGCGCCCCTTTACAGGCGACGAAAAGAATAACAGAGCGGCTAAAAGAGGTCAAATATCTGAAATGCGTAGGGACCTGGTCAGAAAAATACAACATCGAATTAGCAAAAAGAACCTTTGGGGTCAGGAATCGGGGAAAACTAAAAGCCATAAATGAAATCGAAAAGAAACCCCAAAAGTATTTTTTCTCCTTCCCAAATCAAAATCGAAACAACGTCCAGTTTTGGCCCCCTACTTAAACAAGATGGGTCCCCACACAGATGACAGCAAGGAAAAGAGTGAGCTACTCAAACCCAAATGCCCCCGTTTTTTTGCAAGCGCTAACCAGATGAGAGTCGAAAATCAAAATTAATTTTTTATGAGAGAGCCACAAAAAATTTTATTAACACAAGCCATCCGATGTTATCCTGACGCAAATGACTTTTAACAGGCGATAAATGACAGCCATGCACTCTGCCCCAGGGCCCGGGGCTCTGGGAACTCCGTGTCATCAAAAAACTGCAAGAAGCCCCCATCCGAGCCTTTTTTCCCTCTATGGGGAAAGGGGCATGGACACGGGGGGGGGGCTCCACATTATAAAAACAACGACATAGCCCCACTCCCCAAAGGGGGCGTAAAAGCAAAAGCAAAGAACTACAGGGCGGGTAGCACTAACATCCCATATCATAAAAAATCTTTGAAAGGGTCCTAAGAAGCAAAATCACCACCCCTCTAGAAACCCATCAGTTACACAACCCAGGGCAAAGGGTTTTTAGAACAGTCGCTCCTGTCTGTTTAAATATTGGTCACTCACAAAGGGCCTAAATGCACTAGAAGACAAAAAGAATGCAGATGTAATATATACAGACTTTTTCAAAACCCTTCGACAATGTGACATGGCGTAATAGCGCAAAAAAGGGTTTAAAAGGAAATAACAGGGAAAAGTCGGTCGAGGGACTAAAATTTTTCCCACTAACAGAACACAGAAGTAGCGTCAACAAAGTAAAGTCCGGGGGCAGCTACGGTGAAAAGCTCTTTTCCTCAGGACAGTACTCGCCCCCATTTTGTTCCCTCCTCATACCGACATAGACAAGGAGTCACCACAGCCCGTGTTTTTCCTTTCAGATGACACCCGAATCGCATGACAGTGTTTCCATTGCAAACTGAAAAGCTCCAGGGGGGACATCACCCAAATCTTTCAGGGGGGCTGCAGAAAACAAATGAATTTCAACGATGAGAAATTAAATTAATTAGATATGGAAAAACATGAGGAAATTAAATTTTCACAAGTAAAAACAAATTTTTGGCCACAAAATAGAGCGAAACACCAACGTCAAAGCCCCGGGGAGTGATCATGCGGAGGATCCACCTTCGGGGACCAAAACATTGTATCAATCGCATCTGTTAAAAAATGACGGATGGAAATGAGAACCTTCAAAACAGGGGGCCAAGCCATGATGACACTCTTCAGGCATTTGTTTATCTAGGTGGAATATTGCTGCACAAACACCCTTTTTAAAGCAGTGAAATTTGCCGACCTAGAAAATGTACAGAGAATTTTTTCCAGGGCGCGCATAAGGAGATAAAACACCTAAAATTTTTTGGGGACGCTTTGAGATTCAAAAACCTGTATTCCCGGAAAAACCCGGAGGGGAGATACATGATTATATACACCGGGAAAAAATCCTGAGGGACAGTACCAAACTTGCACACGAAATCACTCACTCAAAACAAAAGACTTGGCAACGAGCACCACCCCCCCCAAGAAAAGCAGGGGTTCCTAGCCGTTAAGAGACCATACAAAAGTGGTCAGGGGGCCCGAGATTTTTCACTGCCCCCCACATACATAAGGGTTACCAACAACCCCTGGCATCTTCAAGTGGCAGGGACAAGCACCAAAGCTTTTCCGTCACCCGGGCTGTGGGTCGTACTTGGTTTCTGAGCCCCCAGGAACACCTGGTTTATCAGGCTCTGATCCCCCGGAGGCCCGGGCACAGACCGGGGCCGCGGGGGGGTTTACCCCCCCGGAAAATCCCCGGAAAAACTCCAGGTAAAACCCCTTACACTTTTTCATATGTGTTTACTGTTCTTTTTGTCTTTGTACAGGTAAACATTTTTTTGGTGTTTTTTGGGGTATTTGTATTGTTTCTGTGTCTCACATTGACCTTTCAGCATTCGACAAACTAAGGTTGGGATTCCCCAGTACTAGTCCCCGTAAACCCCGTCACAAATTTTTTCCGGTACCTTTTGTGTATCCCCTCTTCACATACATCCAGTTTATCGCCCGATTGCGCTACCACAACCTTTACCACAATGAAACAGGACCCTAAAATGCTTTTTTGTAACCCATTCATTAGTTTGAGGTCCTGGATTAGTTTGGCTATACCTCATAAAGATGCCCAAAAAAAGCTTGCACCATTGTTTTTTTTTTATGGTATGCGGTGTGCCAGCCTTTCGGCGATACTTATGTTTCTGATAGGATGGGATTTGTGGGGGTTTCCTGCCCGGGGGCCATTACTTCCCCGTCGCCTTTTCCCGTCACCCTGACTGATTCCTTTTTTTGGGCGAATTTCGGAAGACATAAAATAAAATTTTGGCAGCCTGTCTTTCCCCTGATGCCCGCTTCTTCCTCCCCTTATCCCTTCGCAATAAGAAAGGTTTTTCCTTTTTCAAAAACCACTAGAACCACTAAATAAAATGAGGACATTACCTTGTATCTGCCCCAAACTTTGCATTTTTTTGTTACGACAACTTAATACAAAACTGTACTGCCCTTTGTTTAAAAATATCTTACAACGCGCACGAATGGTCCTTTTCCTTTTGTCTCCCAAAAAAAAAAAAAACGCACATAGGGGAAAGAAACCGTACGACGTTTTTAACTGACTTTAATAGGCCTATGTGACTAGTTGATGGAACCGTTCAAGTCGAACCGAAATGTCGTCATAGGTTTCTTTCTCCTATGTTCGAGTTATTTTTTTTTTCTTCAGTCTCTCCTCATAGCTCATATGCCTCAACTCTGGGACTAGGCTCGTAGCAAACTATGTACTTTTTTTCAGCTTCTTTATATGCTTTATGAGAGGCTCATATAATGACTCCAACAACATGCTCATTGGGGAAGCCAGGTATAGATACTCAAAAATTAGGGACAAAGGAATTAATGTACAATTGCTATGGATCCCATCACACATTGGATTACTCCTTCATGATAAAGTTGATATGTTAGCCAAGAAGAGTATCGAGAAGGAGAATGTAGAATATAACTTTGGTATAACTGTGTCTAGCATTAGGAATAATATTAGGAGAGAAGTAAATAATGAAAATGATTGTTATAGGAATGCAGTTAAAAGCCTGAGTAGATCTATAACCCACTATGATAACATGAACGTAGATAAGTATGTTTATGGAGCAACTTGCAATGTGAACAGACTGACTGATGTTGTAGTGGCCAGACTTAGGCTTGGTTACAAGTACTTCTGGCAGTTTGGGAGACACACAGATGATGATCAAACTAAATGTAAATTATGTGATCAGGCATATGGTCACTCTCTTGAACACTATGTGCTTAATTGTCCACTTATTGAGGAATACAGAGACAGACAGTATAATAACCTATGTGACATGTCAAGATATCTTATTAATGAAAATAAGATACCAGATATACTAAGCAAATTTCCTAAATTTGCTTGTAACAGATAAGTGAACTATACATATGTAGATATAAATCCATATGTATTCCTGTTAACTCTTTGGGGCCTAGTTCCTAGGCCTTTTGTGTATCCATATGCTCTCGCGCTACCGTCCACAGGATGGATATGGGGTGTACAATAAACTAGCCACTTCGGTGGCAAAATCTAAATCTATGAGAGGCGGGTTCCAACCTTAATAATAATATAATAATGATCTTTATTTTTACAAATACATGTACAGGTACAACCTATACAGGCCTAGCTGACAATACTACTACTACTGTTTACAATAATGTATTACCACTGAATATATCATTGCTTAATTAATCTTAAGTTAACTTTAAGCCTGCCCATAATGCTCTGCATACAAGGGGCTTTGGCATGTTACACTTAATTACTGCATTCCTTTGTACTTCTCTGCTGTATAGTCCTTGTGGCTTAGCGCTTCTTTTTGATTATAATAATAATTTGTACTTCTCTGTATCATATTCAAATTAATAATAATAATAATAATAAAATCTTTATTTCTACAAGTACATATCCAAGGTGTACAGGCCTGATATCAATTACATACTAGTATGTAGAAAGCCCCTTGTTATGCAGAGCATTTCGGGCTAATTAGGTCAATTTTGTCCCAGGATGCGACGCACACCAGTCAACTAACATCCAGGTACCCATTTTACTGATGGGTGAACATGGACATCAGGTGTCTCAAGGAAACACGCCTTATTGGTTCCACCCGTACCGGGGATCGAACCACGGACACTTGGTGTATGAAGCGAGAACGTTGCCTACCAGGCCACGGTAGGTGGCCTGTATAAGGTGGTGTATGGTACGTGGGGCAGTAAGGTTCCATCCTGGAGCTGCATGCTTGGAGATAGTACTGACACTTGCCATATATAAGGTGATGTATGGTACATGGGGCAGTAAGGTTCCATCCTGGAGCTATGTACATCCCTATGGAAATAAGTCATTTTGACTTTTTTGGGTTATCCAATGCAATGTACACATTTGTTACTATGCATGATAATTATACTTATGTGTACCTGTACGTAAATAAAGTTAGTAAGACTTCCGTGTATGAGTGAAGGTAGGTATGGCCGGAGGTTCTATCTTACACAAGCAACTGTCACTGGCCTTTACAAACCCAACAACACGAAGAAGAATTTATAAGTGATTTTATACAATTCACAAATTGTTACGATAGTTGCTGCCTCAGTTTTGTCTTTGGGTTTCGTATTTGTTCATACAATTGCTCAGTCTGTTATCGGTTAATAAGTTTTAATCAAGTTCCGTGCGTAAGATGGTAAGTTTTTTTTTTTTTCAAGTCAGTGATCTTTTGGGTTATCCTAGGTAATTTACACATACTTTACTAGGTATGATATTTGTACTTATGTGTACCTGTACCTAAATAAACTTAATTATATTAAATAAACCCCCTCAAGGGAGGTTTCATTATACCTGTGAAGGTTTTTGATCCAAGGAACTGGAATTGTTCTTCCTGTTCTTGCTTATACATTAATAATCAATAATAATAATACTATTAATAATAATACTTTTACAAAACATTGCATAAAATTAATGTTTTAATCAGATTTCAGTCGGAGCAGCGGAAGCATCGCCATAATAATATTATTATAATCATGGGGGAGCGCTAAACCCATTGGATTATACAATAATAATAATATCTTTATTTCTACAAGTACATGTACATGGTATACAGGCCTAGCTGACATCGATAACATATTACACGTACTATATAGAAAGCCACTTGTTATGTAGAGCATTTCAGGCAAATTTGGTAAATTTTGTCCCAGGATGCAACCCGTACCAGTCAACTAATGCCCAGGTACCTATTTTAATAATAGGTGCCTTAAGGAAGCACGTCCTAATGTTTCTCCCCGTACCTGGGATAGAACCCCGGACCTCAACACGTGAACCGAGGTGCAAACTGCAGGTAAGCAAGAAAGAAAGTTTATTCAGGTACAGGTACACATCAATACAGTTACATAAATTATCATACATTGCAGCATATGTGTAGATTACCAAGGGTAACCCAAAAAAGGCAAAGTGACTTATTTTCATTGGTAGTTTTTGATTGCCTCAGTAAAGGTAGCTCAGTTAGGTTAGGTTCTCAGCTCACACACTTAAGGTCTGGGATCGATCCCTGGTGTGGGTGAAACATTTGACATGTTTCCTTACACCTGCTCTGATTCACCTAGCAATAAGTAGGTACCTGGGTGTTAGTTAACTGCAGTGGGTTGCATCCTGGGGTGCAAGAAATGCTTTGCATAACCAGGGACTTTCTGTATGGTGTGCCAATAATGTGAACTGTCAGTTATATCATGTACTAATAATTATTATTTTTTATGCCAGGTAGGCCTTGATCTCATCCAAGCTGGTCATGTAATTTTTAAAATAAGCTGGTGAGTTTCCTCTGTAAGACACTTTATTAGGGGGTCTGTGGAAATTTTTGATAATTTTCGTGTGATTTAATTGCAATAATTGGTAGGGATAATAATGTTTATATAATAATGAAGGTGTGTAATGTTAAAAAGATGATAAGTCACAGGGAAGCAACATATTCCCTATAATTTCTTTTGCAGTGTAATAATTAAGTAAAGTGGAATTATGTATTGTAATGTTGAAGGGAATAATATTTTGATAGAATCTAAAAAGTAGATGATGCTTGACATTTTAAGTAACATCTACTTCCCACCTGTAACTGATTTTCAGGATCCCTGTTGAAGCTGGTGAGGTGCTTTTGATCCAAGGAATTAGCTCTGTGCTCCCCCTTCCTTGGATCAAACCTGAATGCCTCCCACTTCTTCCAGGTGCTGTATGACCCCCAATGAAAGTAATAATATTATATTCAACTCTCCATTTAACAGACTTCGGTTTTATAAGGTGTATTTACCTTGGAGATCAGACAATTTGGGCTAACGGAAGATGCTGGCGGAGTAGATTTGGAAACATTGGGAAAAGTCCTTCAGCCATACAATTGTTCATTATTGTTACAATCATGACAAATTACTCTTTTCTTTATCCACCACAATTGCCATTATTTGCTATCAACTACCCCCAGTTTGGCCTTTATATAGAGGGTTTATTGATACAGTTGAAAAACATTGTGTGATTCATAATTTCTTTTATTGTAAGCTTTAGATAAGTGCTCATATTCTGTACTAACAAGATATTTATAATTTCAGATGACAGGGGAAACTCCCACTAGTGTGGATCTAACCACACTCTTCAAATCCTGTATGAAAACTATCAGGACTCGTAACAAGGCAATGGGTGTGACACTGCCTCAAACCAAAATATTTCCTTCTGCTCCAACCCCTTCATCTCAGTTTTACTCAAGAGCAAGGGATGTGATGAGCAACATAACGAGCCATCGCAACTTACTCAATGATCACAGTAAAAAGTACCTTCAGGACCATGAACAGTCTATGTCAGATTATGAGCGTAGTTACATGGAAAAAGTAAGAAAATTATAGTTAGTATATATGTTACACAGTCATTAATTATTATTCAAGAGATATTACGTATTTTCATTATAATTTTTTATAAATACAACATATTTTTCTTCTTCAAAATTACATAAATATAAATCATTATAATACAGGTTGCCCATCACTAATCTGGCAATCAGTAATCTGGCACTAATTTCGGCTAGCATAGTTTCAAATTTCCGGGGTTGCCACACCAACCTGCTGCTCCTGGTTGGTGGCACTACTTGCTGCATAAGTCATTCCAATTTCTTCTTTTCCATTTATTGTCATAACTTGCTCACTTTTAGCCCTAGCCTTGGTTCCAATGAATAAAAGAAATGCTTCTTGTTGTGTAAAGCACCTACAGTGGACCCCCGACTTACGATGGCCTCAACCCACAATAAAAGCGACTTATGATGCTTGTCAGCGTAAAAATTTGACCCCGACCTACGTTAAAAAAACTCGTCTTACATCATTCATCCCGTACATGTCCATGCATCTGTCTGGCCTGAGTGTGCCTCAGCTGCCCTGCCTTCAGTTAGTGTGCCAATGTTTACAAGCCAGTGCAGTCGTTTCCACGCATACTTTTGGAACATTTTGTATTATTCCAGTGTTTTTAGTGCTTGTAACTGCTAAATAAGCCACCATGGTCCTTATGGAAGGGGATTCCCCTTCCAAAATATAATACACCATCATCTCCCCTCTTCCCATCCCATCACTCATCACCTTATCTTCAATAAAGGTAAGTGTCATTTATTCTTCATTACACAATATATATACCCCTCGAGAAATTGTAGCCAAACAGATTCTGTGTCTGATGTTTCTAATCTTATATCATGTCTAACACAATTTAAATTATCTCTGACATACATCACCACTCCACCACCCTTCCTGTTGACCCTGTCAGTGTGGAATAGTTTATAATCCTTTATGCTGCATTCAGAAGGCATTTCTCTATCCTTCAAGTTCAGCCAGGTCTCAGTTATAGCAATATCTATATTACCTGCACTTGCGAGTAATCTTAGCTCATCTATCTTATTTCTTAGACTCCTACTATTTGTATAGTAAACCTTAAGGGAGCTAGTCACTCGTTGCCCTCTACTATCTCGCTTTGTTTGTTGATCAGTTGCTTTGTCTTTATTAGAAACTTTATTTTGAATATTGTCTTTTAAACATATCCCTGATGTATCCTGGTAATATCTGCTGTTTCCAACAATAATACTGCAGCTTGATTGTTTCCCACCAAACACCCATACCTCTATAATCTATCAGTTTAAAGTTCTAGACAAGTCATCAATTACCCCCTCAATCGAATAGGCTAATGCAACCACTCCAACCCTAGAGATGAACCCCATCCCTTGTATACATATCATATTTGCCATAGAATTTGTCCCAGTTATCAATGAATGGGATTGCAAGTTCCTTGCAGTACCTGTCTAGCTAGCAATTTATACCAATTGCCCTAGACATCCATTCATTGCCCACTCCCTTCTAGGCAAGATGCTACATATGATAGGGATCCCTCCCTTAGACCTGACTACTACTATGGCTGACCTGTACTTATCCATTAGCTCCTGCCTCTTGCCCTTCCCAATGTCATTTCCACCAGCACTAAGACAGATAATGGGCTTGTTCCCATTACCTGACATATTATTATCCAACCTGCTGACTATGTCACCAACACCAGCTCCTGGGAAGCACACCCTTTGTCTGACTTTTCTATCTCTGTTACAAAAAGCATGGTCCAATATCTTACCTGAGAGTCTCCCACAATCAGAATATTCTTACCTTGATAAGCAGGGGAGTCAGAGGTACCTTTAACCTCACTAACCACTGAAGTACACTCGTCTTGGAGAACAGAGAATCGATTTCCTACCTTCACATCTTCTTTATTAACCCTCCTTACCTTCCTTCTTCCTGAACTGTGAGCCACTTAAAGCGGCTGCCACTCTCACTGGTGGTAAGCATTTTCTCCTTACCAGCACCAACTATCTCACACTCACTCCTAAACACATCTAGGCGAGGCTTCAGCCTTCTATTTTCCTCCTGAAGTAGAACCTCCTTCTTCGACACTTTAACCTGAGATTCTAAAACATTTCAGCAAGCCATAGTGCTTGGTAATACCCCACACTAATACCCAAACAGCTCAGGACAGGTATGACCACCCGTGACCACTGACTTCAGCGTACTGTTGTTTTTACTGCTTAAGATTACAAATGCAACAGAAATAATAGTATTTCTTACCTTAAATTGTGGGTGCTGGTGTTTGTGGATGATTGTGAAGAATGAAGAGTTATGCTGTGGCTCTCCTGGGCTGAGGTGAATGGTAGAGGTACTGGTACTGAAGTCAATGGTTGTCCTGGGGTGTGCATAAATTCTGTAATGGATTTCTGTTCTGTTTTACCCCACAGTACATTATACAACTGACAGTAAGGCATCAGCTGCTCTAGACACCGTTTCAGGGTCCTGTTCAGTGAAAAAGTCTAACTTTAAGTCAGTAAATCAGTCAAGTCAGCAAGACAGTAAATCAGTCATTAAGTCAGTCAGTTCAGTCAATCAGTCAGACAGTAATACAGTCAGTAAGTTAGTCAGTCAATCAGTAAGTCAGTCAGTAAATCAGTCAGTCATTACAGAAACTCATGTTTACCTCTTTCGTTTATGTGCACAAAGAGACGCTTCGTTTCGTCCACTGGCTTTCTCTTGTCTAATATCTCTATTTTCTACATTAATTCTAAGACTTAAATGCTTAAATGCTTTTCTTGCCACTTTCAGCAACACTTGTATGCCTACTGGGTGCCATGATTGCCTGGCAGATTTAAGATATGGCAAGAAAAAGATATCAACTCCTAGCAGAGGATGATACATATCCTGGGGGTGACGTGTTCAAATTTTTTTCTCCTCCTGCGAATCGTGTTAAATTTATGAAGTGTTATACAAAAATATGCCACAATTCTTCAATCGTGCTATAACCACAACATGCCAGACAAAACCAAGTTAAACAATGGTCTACTGTTTTAGTATTACTATGGTGTTAAGACTAGAGGGATACTCTTAGTGAATGAATAACAAAGGCATATTTATATGCTATGTAATGTATTTCTTACATAATTTTGAAGAAAATATCATAGATGGATTAATGAAAATGTCTATATTAACGTAAAATATGACATTTAATGTCCCCAAGAGTGAGTCATGAATGTATGAGCAACCCAGGTGGACGCGTCTGGTACCGTCGATGTCCAAGCCGATGTATGAAACTCAGGGGGAAGTTTCACCGAAAAAGTGCTAGAAATCCGAATTGTAGGATTTCCGCACCGGCCGAAAACCGGGGGTCCACTGTATTTCAAATGTAGGTTGTTGAAAATGTGAGTCATGGACATGCAGTGAGATTCTTCTGTATTTTATGTACAGTACATTACAGCCTCTCCTCACTTAGTGATGTACTCATTTATTGATTACTCGGACTTACGACGGGCTCTCTGACCAGTACGCACACCTAAGTATGAAATGTATATTAGAGCTAATTTCCTCTATTCTGTTTATTACAATATACAGTACACTATAAACATTTAAAAATATACTAAAAATGTTATAAATGGTGCAAAGGTGACATTACAACACTATCAAAGATGGTCACACAAACCCACTACCATTATACATACTATGCTCCTTGCTTAGCGATGAATTTGTTGACTGACGTGGTCTTAGGAACAGAACTCCGTTGTTAAGTGAGGAAAGGCTGTAGTTGTTTTACTAAGTAGCTCATTTCAGAATCTTTTAATTGCGAGTAATTAGCATAATCCCAAATGTAGGTACATATAAAAATATTTTCTTTAATAATGTATAATCCTCTTAGGACACATTCCACAGGTTGTGAGTACAAATCTTCGCATAATTGATGACAACATCCGCACTCTGAATATTGAGCTCCAGGGTGAAAAGGAAGGATCCAGAGATGCATGTGAATGTCAAGAAAATATTGTGTCTATTCTGAGAATGAAGTTCCAGGAAATTGGTTCAACTTTCAAACATATGAAAGAACAAAGAACAAAGAAGCAAAAAGAAAAAGCAAGTACAGTGCAGCATTTAAGAAAAAAATATATTCTGTAGCTTTTATTCCCTAATTCTGCAGCTTATATTCCCTAATTCTGTAACTTGTATCCCCTAATTCTGTAGCTTGTATTCCCTAATTCTGTAATTTGTTTTCCCTAATTCTGTAGCTTGTATTCCCTAATTGCCTGTAGAATTTTGAATGTTAAGTTTTTGTACATCTTTCTGTACTAATATTTTGCTGCAATAGTAACAACAGATTAAGATTCATGTCAATGAATACTTCAGGTAAGTAAACATAAGTAAGCAAAGCTAAATAGCATGCATGTGAGATTTCTAGAATTACAGTACAATATAAAGAACCCTGTATATATTTTAAGTAGGGTCCTGCTTTACGGTGTTCTGCTAATACAAACATTTCAAATTATGGCCAAAACTTGCTATATGGCTCCCCCACCTGACTTTTTAATATGGTTACCAGGCACCACCTGGTTTGTTTTATATTCTCCATGAGCTCTGCCTCTTTCCATTATGTCTGGGAACTTTCCAAAATTTCATGTGTTTCAAAGTTATTTTATATATACTCTCATAATTATACTTATGAGTATGTGTACTTGAAAAGAATAAATCATTGACATTGTCATAAAATATGGGTTTATATAAAAAATTATACACAGTTGTACCTTGACTTACAAGTCCCCCAACTTATGAGCTTTCCGAGTTATGAGCTGTCGCTCAGTCGATTTTTTGCTTTGAGTTGCGAGCCAAAATCCGAGTTACGAGCGAGCTTCAGATATGCCGCTACTAGTTGGCGGCATATCTGAAGTCAAATCCAACCCTGTACTCAGAGGAATGTCAGGTACATCGTCCCATCTCACATGCTCTTCCAAAACATAACTGGAAGGATAATTACTCCCACACTAATCCCAGATTGTAGTGAGGCACCTGGTCTCGTTTGGTTCTTGTATAAATCCGGGGAAGAGATAACCTACATTTCAACACTCAGTTTTTCCAGAAACATTAAGGAAGGCCTCTGTGATATTTACCTGCCTCACAGAGGTTCCTTCAGTAGGTGGAGTACTGATAGTAGTGGGTGGAGTAGTGATGGTAATGGGTGGAGTAGTGAAGGTGGTGGGTGGAGTAGTGATAGATGTGGGTAGAGTAGTGAAGGTGGTGGGTGGAATAGTGATGGTGGTGCCTATCTTTTCCAACCACCACCTCAGCCAGCATCTTCCATTAGCCCAAGTTGTCTGATCTCCAAGGTAAATACACCTTATAAAACCAGTTTATTTCTTTACATTATCTTTTATTATGTTTTACAGTATTATGTTTTCATACAATATTTCTTATTTATAAATACATTTTTCTTATTTAAAAACCCGTAACAAAAAAATTTGGGTGGTTTTTTGGGGGCTGGAACGGGTTAATGACATTTCAGTTAATTTCAGTGAGGAAAACTGATTTGACATATGAGCAAATTGAGTTACGAACTTGGTCAAGGAACGAATTAAAGTCTTAAGTTAAGGTACCACTGTATAGCGTAAAAATGCTCTTAGTCATATTTTTGTTTTTTAACAAGTTGGCCATCTCCCACCGAGGAAGGGTGACCCAAAAAGAAAGAAAATCCCCAAAACGAAAATACTTTCATCATTCAACACTTTCACCTCACTCATACATAATAGCTGTTTTTGTAGAGGTGCCCAGAACACAACAGTTTAGAAGCATGTACGTATAATGATACACAACATATCCGTCCAAACTGTCAATATCCTAAATCCCTCCTTTAACCCTTTCGGGGTTTTGGCTGTACTAGTACGGCTTAAACGCCAGGGTTTTTGACGTACTAGTACGCATAAATTCTAGCGCCCTCAAATCTAGCAAGAGAAAGCTGGTAGGCCTACATATGAAAGAATGAGTCTATGTGGTCAGTGTGTACAGTATAAAAAAATCCTGCAGCACACAGTGCGTAATGGGGAAAAAAAAAACTTTGACCATGTTTTTGGTTTAAAACAATGACTTTGCACTGTATTTTTGTATGGTATTTATGGTTGTATTCTAGTTTTGCTGGTCTTATTTTATAGAATGGAAGACATATTACAGAAATTGAGATGATTTTGATTGCTTTCACAATGAAAAGTACCTTGAAATTGAGCTCAAAGTAGCAAAAATGTTTGATTTTTGCCAAAGTTCTAAAGTAAACAAATCATGCCATGCGTCCAATACACATCAGCTGGTGAATCTAATATTCTTTCACAAGTGCGCTGGTATTATTTATATCATTTCTACACTAATACAGTAGTCTGCATAACAGTAAATCTTCTATTTTTTGTGAGAATAAAAATTCGAAGTGGAAAGCAAAAGAAATGTAAGAGGGGCGTGGGGATGTGACTAATGAACAGAGGAAATGTTATTTTAGTGCCAGGAATGTCTTTCTTGTTTATTCTGGACCCTATTTGGATATTGACATCTTTTGAAATTTGTATGAAATTGGCAAAATTGCTTAATTCTGACCACTTTATTGGATAGTTGAAATCGGTAAATGGGTGGTTTCTTGTAATTATTCGATAGAAAAAAAACGAGTTCTAGCGAAATAGTTATGATTTTTGTCAACTGGAATTTGCCGAAAATAGGGCTCAAAGTGGGCAAAATCACCAATGCATAAACATCGTCGAGACCGCTAACTTCGCGAGAGCATAATTCCCTAAGTTTTCCATCAAATTTCATACTTTTGGTGTCATTATGATCAGGAAAAGATTCTCTATCTTTTCATAAGAAAAACTAATTTTTTTTTTTAAATTTTGGCGACCCTGAGAACAAGTCTCTGAGAGGGCCTGACAACCCCCAAAGGATTAAAGTGCAGGCATTGTACTTCCCATTTCCAGTACTCAAGTCCGGCTATATAAAAATAACTGGTTTCCCTGAAACCCTTCGCTAAATATTACCCTGCTCACACTCCAACAGCTCGTCAGGTCCCAAATACCATTCGTCTCCATTCACTCCTATCTAACACTCACACAGGCTTGCTGGAAGTCCAAGCCCCTCACCCACAAAACCTCCTTTACCCCCTCCCTCCAACCTTTTCGAAGACGCCCCCTACCCCTTCCTTCCCCTACAGATTTATACACACTCCATGTCATTCTACTTTGATCCATTCTCTCTAAATGACCAAACCGCCTCAACAACCCCTCTGCAGCCCTCTGACTAATACTTTTTTTTAACTCCACACCTTCTAATTTCCACACTCCAAATTCTCTGCATAATATTTACACCACACATTGCCCTTAGAGAGGATATCTTCACCACCTCCAACCGCCTCCTCGTTGCAGCATTTACAACCCAAGCTTCACACCCATATAAGATCTTGTGTTGGTACCACTATATTTTCATACATTCCCTTCTTTGCCTCCATAGATAATATTTTTTGCCTCCACATATACCTCAATGCACCACTCACCTTTTTTCCTTCATCAATTCTAGGGTGAACCTCATCCTTCATACATCCATCTGCTGACACGTCAACTTCCAAATATCTGAAAACATTCACTTCTTCCATACTCCTCCTCTCCAATTTGAAATCCAATTTTTCTTTATCTAAATCATTTGATACCCTCATCACCTTACTCTTTTCTATGTTCACTTTCAACTTTCTACCTTTACACACACTCCTATTACTCACTATTACACACTCTCGTATTTGAGATGCCTAAATCATTATATGCACAGTAGGGCCCCACTTATTCGGCAGGTTAGGTTTCAGGCTACTGCCAGAAAGCAGACGCTGCCATAAAGCAGAACACCATTTTTTTCCACTTATAAATGCATATAAATGCCAGGTAACAAGTTTACACTAATATATATTACATTAGCAATAGAACTAGGCATTAAAAACAAAAGTAAAATACACACACAGTACACCTATTACTCACCTTAAAATATTTGTTGTCTTAATGTAGGGTGAGAGGTGAGTTTTATTTGTAGGACGTCAGGTTTGGGAAGTATGGAATCCAGCCAGGGGAGCCCTCCCTACCCCACCCACACGTAATGTACTACAGTATTTAATTAAAGCTCCCCAGAGTGATAAAATGCATATACTACAGTACACTCATTAATTACCTTAAAATATTTGTAGTCTTAATGTAGGGTGAGAGGTGAGTTTTATTTGTATGAAGTCAGGTTGGGAAATATGGGTAGCCAGGAAGGGCAGCCATCACCACCCAACCCCACCCACACGTAATGTAAACAAACCAGACGAACGTGTCTGGTTTTCGTCACTTTACATTGTGTACAAGTTGTCTCCACGTTGATACAGTAGAATAAATAAAGAGAAACGCTCCCATTCTCATGTAACATTTTTTTAGAAGAAATGATGCCTTGAGTTGAAGGCATACTTAGGTACAGGTACACATACATATAATTTTTTTTTTTTTTTTTTTTCAACAAGTCGGTCGTCTCCCACCGAGGCAGGGTGACCCAAAAAAAAGAAAGAAAATCCCCAAAAAGAAAATACTTTCATCATCATTCAACACTTTCACCACACTCACACATTATCACTGCTTTTGCAGAGGTGCTCATTTTTTTTACAAATTTTGTTAAAAAAAAACCTTTTCTTTTATTTCCTTTTAAAAATTTTCTTCCCTTTACCCACACTTATTATCCTATTTACCACTTCCGTATTTAAACCCAAAAATATCAAGTGGGGCCCCCTTTTTTTGCCCATTTAAAATTCATATAAAAGAAAGAAACCCGGCCCCATAAAGAAAAAACACCTTTTTTTTTAAAAACTAAAAAAATTAAAAAAACCAATAACAATTTAAACCCTTAATTACCAAAAAATTTTACTTAAACAATTAAAATGGGCTTTAAAAAAAAAAATTAAAATTTTTACCACCACCCAACCCCAACCCAACTTATTTTAAAATATTTGGTCAAAAAAATGTATAAGATTTTATTTTAAAATTTTTGGAGCCCTTTAGTTTACCAGGGGGAGTCCCAAAAAAAAACAAGGGTAAAAGTAATTT